AGGGTCTCGCTATGTAGTTCAGGCTGGCCTAGAATTCATGGTGATCCTCCTGCCTCAGCCTCCCCATTGCTGGGATTATGGGTGTGCATCCGAGCCCAGCTAGCAGCAGTGTTCTTGCTTATGGCTGCCTCTGCTGTGCCATGCCTGTGACTATACAGAAAGAGCATGAAGTCACCCAGATCACTTCCCTCCTGAACTTGCTCTCAGTAGTTAGTAAAGTGTGAATAGCGGGGTAGGCTTAGGCCTGGCTCTGTGACCTGTGGGGAAGTCGCTGGAACATAAGGTAGGGCTGTAGGCCAGGCAGCAGAGGCTGGCAGGAAGCGTGCCCTGGTACTGCGATGTGTGAAGACTTGGGGGCTGGGCTTCAGTGCTCCTATTTAGGTGAGGACTCCCAGCGGGGCCTGAATAGGGTGTGTGTGTCACTTGTTTTGTTTTTATGGCTTTTGTCCAGATCTTGAAATTTAAATCCTTGCTCCACCCTGAGGGGTAGAGGGAAGTACTGGGAGTTGAGTGTTGACATTTTTATCTTTTCCTCTAATGTTTGCAGAAACCATCTGAGTCCCTAGCATCCCAGTCCATGGAGGGTACTAAGTATGAACAGGTTGGGCTGCAGGTGGAGTGACCCCGAGGACTCTGCTATGGGTCTTTGAACTGCCCTCCTTTGGCCGAGCCAGGGACCAGGAGAAATACAGTACTCCATCAGATTCTCTGAGACTAGCTTGGGCTTGGTCTGTGCTCTGGGGCTAGCAAGAAAAGGTCCAGGAGCCACATAGGCCATCATGTGTTAAAAGAACTAAAAAAATCAATCTCTTGCTCTTTTTTTCCTTCCCTCCCTCTCCCTTTTCTTCTTCCTTTCTCCTGTCTTGATGGTGCTAGGGATTAAACCCAGGGCCTCATACATGCTAGGTAAGCACTGTACCACTGAGCTATACCCCAAGCCCCAGGATAGATGTTGTTGGTAAATAAGTTAAAGTGCTTCTGTCTTCGCTGGTTATAGTCCTGGGCTGGGATTGAGGGAGAGAAAGGAAGCCTTGCTTTGTGTTTGGCCTGTGGAAACCTCCCTTGGATAGCAGGAGAGTAGTCTCAGCTTGGCACACTCAGTTCAGGAAGATCTCTGGCTTCCTAAAGCACACTGAAGTGGGTGCCCTTAGTCATGGCCTTTCAGGAGAAGGGGCCAAAGTCAGCTGATTCTGCTCTGTAAGTTGGGAACAGTGCAGAGTTCAGTGTCCGGTGCTGGCCAGTGGTGTGCTGTCCCTGCTGGCTGTGGCCACTACTGAGGGCTCCTGGCACAGTGAGTGCTGCCTAGCTTCCTCCTCTGTCCAAGGCAAGAGGGGTGATTCTCTGTCCATACAGGAGGCAGAAGTAGGTGGTGTGGTTAGGCAGCTGTGAACTGCCCCCTACCCTCTACTCCTGTCAGCAGACCAGGTACCATCGTGGGCAGATGTCTGAATATAGTCACGTGGTCACTGCACCCAGTTGCCGTGTGCCTACTGGGCCCTGGTGTTCATGGTTCACAAGGCCATGGGTTATCCTGCTGCCAGGCAGTCCTGAGAGAGGTTTTGTGTTCCCCAGGAGACGTCAGATAAGAGTGTGATTGAGCTGCAGCAGTATGCCAAGAAGAACAAGCCTAACCTGCACATCCTAAGCAAGCTCCAGGAAGAAATGAAGAGGCTGGCTGAGGAGAGGGTGAGCCCTATTCCACACATGTGGTCCCATCCTGCACACAGCTGTGGAGAGACATTGGACCCCAGGAACCCATCCCTGACCTTCTGAAAATGCCAGTATACTTCCCAGTGAGATTGGCCTTTCTCTGAGCTTCAACATGTGTGATACTCTTGTGACATGACTTTATATTTAGTTAAGTGAGAGAGCTGACAGGCCAGCCTACCTACCACCAGATGAAGGGCCCGGCAGATGTGGGGTGACTATAGGTCAACTTGGAGCCAGTTGCTTGACAAGGGCAGGGGTGGAACACCAGGCAGATACCCCGGGGAACTCCATAGGGTCACAAAACAGTTGAATCTGGGTAGGACTTAGTCATGGTGAAGCTTTCTAAAACCACCATGGATGTTCCAGCCCCATAGGCATCTCACCAGGCTGGCGCTGTATATCCTACCGCTAAACACTAACCAGGTGGCTCCTCATAACCTGCCTGGGCTTTTGGGGCTAGGAGCTTTTTTGTAGTTCTGGCATCAGCCTAGGCTGTATTCAGACCTTGAGATAGGTACCTGTGCTAGGGGTCTACCCAGTTTGGGAGATGCAGTACTCCTGCTTTAAGATGAGTTGGCCTGTTCTCTCAGGAGCTAGTAGGACTACCCAGCCTCCCCTATTAGAGGATGGGTTGTGGGGCCAAAGACAACAGGCCTAGGCCATAGTAACCCCAGCTGGGGAGGTCCTATTCCTCTTAGGCTACTGTGACCTCACCCAAAGTTTTCCTTCTAGGTGTGTGCTGCAGGGAAGGGGTGGTGGTGCATAGTACTCTGCCATAGTGTTTCAGGAAGGCCCTCTGCAGTCCTGGCCTGCTCCTCGGGCCTTCCCTCCTAGCCAGACATCACAAGCACTAAAGCACGGGGGTCCCTAGTGCTGTCCTGCTGGCCCATCTCCATCCTGTCCCTGAATTAGCCTCTTACTAAGCTCACCTGCCAGAATCTCTAACGTTTGTCATTTTCCAGGAGGAGACTCGGAAGAAGCCCAAAATGTCGATTGTGGCATCTGCCCAGCCCGGTGGTGAGCCCCTGTGCACTGTGGATGTGTGAGGTAGGCTCAGCACTGGCTGAGGCACGGGGGCCGTCAACAGTGCTGCTGAGAAATCACCAGCCACACACCACCTGCTCTGCAGCAAGGGGCCTCCCACCCAAGTTCCTTTGTGGCCAGTGTACCTGGGCCCAGGCTCTGATACATGGAGACAGCCATGGCCACATAACACACACACATCAAGCAGCAGTTTTCCCTGGAAGCTGCTCCCAGGTCTAGATGGATGTGTTTCAGGATCACCTCCAGGTGACCACAGACATGAAAGCTGATAGCTGTAGACCTTGCTTGTATGTACTTGATACAGACTTTTTAATGAAGGTTTTCATGAATTTTGGTAATATGCACTGACAAGAAATGATACTTGGTGACAGATGAGATGAAAAAAAAAAAAAGACAGCCAAATCCTGTGGCCATGGCCACCTTGTGATGCCAGGTGGCCTCCGTGCCCAGGATTCCATTGGAGCCACTGCAGAGGACCTGGTCAGATGGTGCACACAGCACCCCTGTCCCTTGCCATCTGCCTTCTGTCTTTTCTCCTTTTCTCTGAAAATGTTGTAACAGAAAGGAGTATTTCAGACCATTTGATTTAAAATAAACATAATTTTAGCACCAGAACTACTTTTCAGAGATTGTGGGCAAATCATCAAGGTAGCTATTTTCCAATTGTGAACTGTTGCCAGTGACAGTGACATCTGGCCAGTGTCCCTGCGTGTCAACCTGGTCTGCTGTTGGGCTGCAGTCCACTTTTGTGACCACATCTTTGTGCCCTGATGCCACCTCCTTGGACACTGAGGCCTCTGCCTTCACTGGCCTCCAGCAACAATTTTTTACAAAGGTTTTTGCACAGTTAAGTCTGTCTGTCTGTCAATTTCTAAAGCTTTTATGATATTTTAGAATTTGGAAAGTTTTACAATGAGACTAGAAGGTAGATTTGGAATCGTGTATTTTAAGTGGATTTGTTTAATGGGGAACAGGGACTTTCAGTGCAGTCCATCAGTGATCAGGAGCTGGCCAAGTGCATGAGTGGTGTATAGCAGCAGAGGTGTCACCTCTGGTGACAGCAGCCTCCCTGGATTTTAAGGGCAGCTGTCACTTGTGCTCACTGGGTGGGCCTTGTGGGTGGGTGCAATAGAGATGCTCCTGCTCAAGCCCCAGGCACATGGGTGTTTTCAGGGCCGTGGTGGTGGCAGCCAACTATGCACCCATCCCAAGCTTCTGTTCAGAGGGCCACATGCTCATGGGCAGAAGCCCAGCGCTGGGCTACACCCTCATGTTCCACAAGATCTATCTCTTGCCGTATCCTGCAGATGGTGTTGATTGGTATGAGCTGTTAGGAAGACAGAATATTGGCTGTGCCCCAATCTGTCCCTTACCACCTGTGTGACTGGAGGTGGGTTCTGTATTAAACTTGACAAAAGAAATCCCAGTCATATTGCTATCATTAGACACTTGCTTGTCTTGTCTCCTGTCTACAGCTGTGAATAGTCATTCACCCAAGACTGTTGCCCTTAAAACTGCCAGACATGTTGTCATTGAACCAAAGCTTTGTGCACATGTGTTACCCTAGAGGCCAGTGAACCTCGCTATGGCCTTCCTGGTCCCAGGTGTTGCCAGAACAGGTGCTCCATGCATTGTGGTTTCTGGTGTCCTCTGTCTGCCACATGTGGGTGCAAGTCCTGTGTGCACACAGCCATGCTGTGGGGCCAGGGAGCCTGTTATGCTGTTTCTGTGTGCTGGGCTTGTGGCTGTAGGATAAGCCTCGATGGTTTGAATATATAAAGCAAACTGTCCAAAAGGGAATGGCTGCAGTTTCTTTCTTCTGACCATGGAAAATGGGTTTGTGGACCCTCAACTGGCCAGAACTGTCCTAGAGTCTTGTGTGCTGGGGTATCTGCTGGACACAGCTGCCTCTGGGAGCTCAGCAGCAACCCAGCGTGCACAACCTTTGGTCACTACATAGAGGTAGCCTCCCTTTGGGGCTTGAGGGCCAGGGTAGCCATGGAATGGTTCAGCACAGACCTTCCCTTACTCAGGTGCAGGGACATCCTCCTACCTTGTACTAGTCTCTACCTTGGCATATCCAGTTTGTGCTTGGTCCTGTGAGCTGCATCTCTGCCGCTTCTTGGGGTTACGTTGACAGCCCATTAAAAATCAAGACTACTGACTCTATACCGTTTAGAAGGGCTTGGAGTGTGCCCTGGGGAGCCCTGCCGTGACTCATTTCCACCTCAGCTGGGCACGTTCTTGGTTGTGCCCAGACCTGGCCAGAAGGATGTTGGCTGGGGCTTGAGGACCAGACTACATGAAGGGCAGAGGTTTCCAGGCGACAAAGGTAGGGTTGAGGTGTCCTGCTCACCCTGTCCCTTTGCATCCACAGCAGAGGGCAGAAAGAGAGGAACCTCTGAATGCCTAAATTCTGACTTTTAACACAGACACACCCTTAGCTCAACAGTTGTTTATTTGGGCTCCCGAAACCTGGCTATTCCAGAAAGAATTTGGGGTAGGAGTCAGGCAGGCTGCAGGAGTCTACCCATTTTCAGAAACCACAGCCTATGGCAACAGACTGTCTGATCCTAGTGGGGCAGCTGGGCCTCACATCCTATGACTGTTTACCCGAACCATCCTGGAACGAGGGAGGCTGTGGGGAACCCCACCAACTTCTGCCCCATGATGGGCCCTGGTCTGGAGAGCTGGCTTTTGCCTCTCCCAGGGTCTAGGATGAGAGGGAGGCCCTAGTTTCCTGTGGAGTATCATTAGGGAGCCCTGGTGGAGGCTGGGCTGGAGGGTCTTGGTGTTCCAGGGTCCTTATGCCATTGGGAGGGTACTCCACCCTCTCAAACAGGATGAGCATCTCACAGTGTGGGGTCTGTGGGAACAGGTCCACTGCCATAGCCTTGACTGGTCGGAAGGGAGTGCCCTTCACCCGGTTGGATGGGGCCCTGCAGAGGCTGTGATAAGAGAAGAGTGATAAAGTGAGCCTCTCAGGACCAGCCATGGACTCCTGTGGGAGGCAAGTGGGTGCTAGGCCCTGGTCCACCCTAGGCCCCTGCCCCAAAACTCACTCCACAAAGTTGCCCATGGCTGCCCGGGGGTTGCACGAGACATACAAGAGCCTCTTGAGGTTCTCAGCTCTACGGACAGCCAAGATCACCTTGGAATCTGAGAAGGCACAGATACGGCTAGGACTCCAAGGCCCAAGACCACGCAGCCTGGCAGGCCACTCAACATTGGTGTCCTCTTCCTGTGCCACCTCCCCAAAGAAAGCTACTCACGCAGGCCAGCTCGGGGTGGGTCCAGGACAGCCACAAGTTGTTGAGAAACCAGTCTGCTAACCAGGGCAGGCACCAGGTCCTCAGCCCTCCCACAGTGGAATTCAACATTGTTCAATTCTGGAGATAGCACCATAGCGATCAGTGGACCCTGGGGACCCTCCCTCTCAGGGCCAGCCCTCGGAAGGGATGGAAGAGCCCCTGGAATACACTGGGAAGGAGCTTGCTCACCCTGTCAGGCAGCTGGGGTACTGGGTCACAGGTTTAGGTTCTTGTGTGTGCCCCCCACCCCCATAGGCCCTGGGGACCATGGAATGGATTCAGATGCAGTGGATAAGGTACATAGCAAGATAACTGCTTCCTCCCTACCCTGCCCACCTGTCCCACCGCTGGCAGGTTCTCACCATTGGCATGGGCATTCACGCGTGCATCCTCCACAGCCTCCTGGCTTAGTTCAATCCCAATGACTTTCTTCACCTTCTGAAATGAAAAGGCAGACAGTGCTCCCTTAGGGATTCTCATAGAATAGTGTGGGTAAGAAAATCAAACTGTCTGGGACAGGGTGGTCAACTTCTGTATCTTGAAGCTGAGGGCCAGGGGGGCTCACAGAGTGGGGAGGTGGCATCCTCAGCCAAGGCAGGAAGGCTCACCTGGGCCAGGGCCAGGCCAATGGTGCCAGTGCCACAGCACACATCCAACACTGTACTTCCCTTGTCCAGCCGGGCCCAGTCTTGGATGACTGTGTAGAGTACCTCAGCTGCGGGTGTGTTCACCTAGAGAGTGGCCACAGCGCTTGTGTACAGCCCAGAAGCAGGCCAAGCACCCCATTGTCACCCAGATTCCTGGCTCCATCCTCCTGCTCCCCTGGTGCTAGTGCTTCTACCCCATCTCTCAGTGCACAAGATACTGGTGACCTTTCCTAGTCTCCTGGCTTTAAATACCAAGATATGCCAACAGTACTCCATTTACAAGAAGCTTTTCTTCGGGTCAATAGATTTGTAGGGCCCCCTCATATCAGCAGAAGGTACCTCTGCCTCCCAAAACTTAGGCCAGGGCCCCTCAAGTCTCCTGGCTCTATATCCCAATCCTACCTCTGGCCCTCCACCAGGTCCTTAGCCGCTCCAAGTCCTTATACCTCCTACAAAGGTCTCTCCTTAAAGCTTTCCATGGCAGAGTGAAGTGGAAAGTGTACCCCTAGTCCAAAGGCCACCAAGGCCTCACTCTTGCCAAGATCAGAGCAGTGTCCAGTGGTGACAGTGTGCCTGTTCTTCATCTTCCCTGTGATAAAAGATCACCACACATACCTATGGGTTGTCACAAGTACGCCATCAGTGGTGAAGGACCTCTGTCCTGCCTCAGCTTTTACCCTGAAGTACCTCACCTCGACGTTCTCCCATCTCTACAAGGCTGGCCCCTTGTTGCACCCAGGCCTGCTCTGCTCCGTCATGCCCCTACTGTCACATTAGGCTTCCTTCCCCATTTTCCTGTGCAACCACAGATACGTGGCTACCTGAAAGAAGGCATGAGGGGAGATCTGGAAGGTCAGCCCAAGCAGATCTTCTTGGATGCACCGGTCCCCAGCCACATGCTCCAGGGGCAGGCCCTCTTGGCTAGGGGTCTTTCTGTGGAAGGACATGACTATCAGTGTCACCAGCCTCTGTGGAAGCCCATCCGGTCCTGATCTGGGTTTCTCACCGCTGTCCCTCCTCCACAAAGTAGAGGCAGGTCACCCCACTGGCCCTGCCTGGTCCCTCCATAAAGTGTTGCGCCAGGGAGGTCTTCAGCCCTGCCAGCTCCTCACGGCTCAGTTTCTGCAGCAGATAGTACAAAAGGCCTCTCAGGCTATGCTGAAGTGACCCTAAGCCAGATACCCTACCCAGCAGGGCCACCCGCCTGGTACCTGGGGGTGAAAGTAGGCAATGGCCATGGCCTGGCCTCGGCTGCTGGTGCGCACAGTCAGCTGCTTCCAGTGACCTGCATAGGTCTCAGGATCATATGCTGAGTATGGGGTAGACCTGTGGGAGACACAAGTGACCCTAAGCACTAAATGTCTGCCAACCAGAATTGGGGTTGTAGCCCATGGCCTGTCACCGGAACTGCCTGGCTAAGAACCATGTTCCCAGGAGGCTAGTCCGAAATGCTTACCGGATAAACTCCTGGAAGGCTTTCACCACCTGCTTGGTGGCCTTGGGGATGTGCACTGTATCAAAGGGGGCCGCCACAGCACATGTTCCACCCTTGTACTTGCCAAGCCGGCAGCCAACAGTATTGTCCTTCCCATCCACCCCGACGCCGACCAGAAACTCACACTTATTTCGATACTCAGTCTGCAGGGAGAGGAGACAGAGAGAGGCGGCCAAACCTTACTGTGGCTGATCAGCACTGGTGCCTGGAGAAAACTACAATAAGTGAGAGACCCCAGTTCCCCAGCTAGAAGGTAAACGATGAGAAACAACTAATAGTCATGTGATGAGACCAAAGACCAAAAAACAAAGAGGAGGGAGACGTGGAAAAGAACAAAAGCAATGTTTTCGAAAACAGGATGACGGGCTAGGAGGGTAGCTCAGAATGCTTGCTTAGCATGCTCAAGGCCCTGGGTGCGATTCTACTACAAAAAGTAGAAAACCTGAAAACACATTACGGGGGTCTGTGGCCACTCCAGTCTATCCTGACCTGCTGGGGTGATGGTCTAACCCCCTCCAGTGGACAGCAGGCTTTGTTGTGCTTGTTCCTCTGTGTGAGCAGCCAGGGTAGCAGGGCATGGTTGGTGCTCCCAATTTCTCTGCAAGATGAAACCGATCCATAGTCGGACACATTGCCTCTCACCCCCCACTGGGCCCCTCCCTAGAGACCTCACATTTCCCACTGGTAACGGGCCTTACTGGCCAGCTCTCTGATGAACAGCTCAGACCCTGTGGTGTGTCCCACCCAGGGCACAGGGCAGAGCAGGAAGCAGAGGGCGCCTTGTGCCAACACTCACTTGGCAAGCCTTTGCAGCACCTGCTCACACTCCAGGCGCTTTCTCACCAGCTGCTCGGCATAGGGGACTGTCCAAAGCGGGGTCACCACGTCGGCAACTTGTGTTGCAAGTGGCTCACTCTCGCCCTCCTGCTGCCTCCTCCTGGCCATGGGATCAGCTTTGGGCCGGGCCAGGCGCACACTGAGTGGGCGGCCTTTCCAGAGAGCACCATGCAACACTCGCAGGGCCCTGTCCCGCTCAGCAGCGCTTCGGAATGTGACAAAGGCACAGGGCGGCTGCCCAAAGAGTTTGGTTTTGTGGGGCTGCAAGCCAAAGCGGCCCAAGAAGCGTCGGACATCGCTGAAGCTGGCATGGCGAGGTAGGTGCTGCAGTTCCAGCTTGAAGATCTCTGAGGTGAACTGGTCGTCCCTGATGTAGCTGTAGAGACCTGGTTGAGGCCCTGGTTCTACAGATGCCCCAGGCCCTTCTTTCTCCTGCTCTTCCCGGGCTGCTGGGGCTGTAGGGTTCCCCGGGGCACTGCAGCTTTCCTGGCTGCAGTCCTCCATGGGCTCTGGGTTCTGGGCGGCAACAAACAAGGACCAGGCTGAGGGCTGGACGCCGGGATTCACAACCCTCCCTCAAACCAGGCTCTTTTCCAGCACCCGACCTCCATTAGTGCACCCTACCCCCAAATGCACTCCACCCTTCTCCCCTTTTCCACTCCCCTGGCCCCACTCCCATTTCCTTCTGAAACCTGCTTAACCCACTTATTGCCATCTCTTCTCCCACAGGATTTCTATCCTACATCTTCCCACACCATCCCCACTTCCGTCCTCCCTGCATCGCCCTTTACTTCGTTGTCCATCTTCTCATTCATCAAATGGGATCTCCACGAGCCGCTGCCTCGCACTTAGTTCTGGACCTGTCACACGCGAGGTGCTCTTAAGGCAGGTGCGATGCAGAGAGGACGCCTCAGGCCTCCGTTCTAGGCCGGATTCGTACCACCGAGTGCTCAGCATGGAGCTACACCGCCCGCCCACCAGGAACCCGCGCCGTAGATCGCCGCACCAGGCCCTCTTCAGTCGGCCAGCGCCGGCCTCCCAAGCTGTTTTTTCTATGGTCGCGACTTCCGTTGACGTCATCGCCAAGGGCCAGGTCAGAGCGCCTCGCCTCTTTCTCTAGG